CATAAAAACACCACAAACTATTAATAAATCGTATATTTTCCCTAAAAAAAAAAGTGTTAAGTCATAGTATTCATTGTTTTTATGGTTGTAGGAAGTAAGCAGCAAGCCAGCATTTAAAGACAGATATAAGAGTTTTTTACCAAACAAAAGAAAACATTTAGGTCAGGTTTGATTACTTTGAATAGACCTTATGTGCTGCAGCGGATTGAAAATGAGCTAAGTGATAATTGTGCTTTTCTTTGGGTTTCTTGTGTAACATCGTGTATGAAAGACCTAAGGAAAAGTATTCTGACTACCATTTCATTAGGTCATCGATGCAGATTAGTCCTTTAATTGCTGGTATATTCAGTTGAATTAAAGTGAATGTGCTCCCCAAATTGTTGTATCTTTTCAAATGCATTCCAGTCTTTATCTCAAAAAGCTTTTTTTAATCCCTTCACTTCTTATTCCAACAATCTTTGTGAAACGAAAAAAATCTCCTGGAAAACAAAAGAATCTCTTACAGAAAATAAGAACTAGGACGGCCTTGTCCTGCCGGATTTGTTATACTTTTACTGTTCTGCAAATATCTTAGCAATGTTATTTTGTTGTAGCACTAACGATAAGCCATGCTGGCTGCCGACTGAAGAGATTCCATGCTGCTCTACTTCTCTGTTTTCACTTTGTGTCTTCCCTTAATGTCATCTCTACAGACACTAAAAAAACTTCCTGTTTTAATCAATATTTCTACACTGCAATTAATTTGTTCCTCATCAATCTGAGCTAGATACCGCATCCTCCTGTGTAAAGTGGTGCATAGGATTCACAGGTCCAGGAGTAGGTCGGTCTGGCTCTTCCCTGGTACTGACTATTTGCAAGATGTAATCTAGGTCCAGCTAATCTGTCTCACATGTTTCTGTTTTCCCCTTCCTTATCCACATATTGGGGCTCAGCGTTTTGAATTACTCTCAGTCTCCGCTGAATCCTCTGCTTGGGACCCTCCCTGACATACACACTTTGGCATCCCACATAGCCAATTGTATAGCTGTCCTTACGTGGCTAGCCAGAAGAGCCATTTGTAATTTGTTAGAAACATCCTCATGCACCCTTCCATTCCCAATGGATGAAATATGCCCTCTCCTTTATACAACTGGAAAAAATGAAACATTCCCTGAGAGGCTCTGACAGTACATCCTCTAAAATCTGAAGGCCTTTGATCAATGAATCGAACATAAATTAAAAAGAAAACAGCAATAAAACCCTGATTTATGCATTTCTAATAAAACTAGGCACACTATTATAATGCTGCACACTTGCTAACAACTTAAAATACCTTGAGGCCGATAACTTTCTGTTAACTAGTCTTGAAATGAAATGATGAAGGCAGGTCATGCTATGATTTTCAAAGATCATATCTAATGTCTCTAACATAGCAGACATATTGACTTCAGTGGCCTTAATGTGGATCCATCCATCTATCCAGCTGTCAATGGGTGAGAGGCAGGGTATACCCTGGACAGCACGCCAGTCAATTGCAGGGCAACACAGAAACGAACAGGACAAACAACCATTCACGCACACACTCATACATAAGGAGAAGCCAATTAACCTAACAGTCATGTTTTTGGACTGTGGGAGGAAGCCGGAGTACCTGGCGAGAAACCCACGCATGCACAGGGAGAACATGCAAACTCCATGCAGAAAGACCCCGGGCCAGGAATTGAACCCAGAAAAAGTCTTGCTGCAAGGCAAGAAGTGGAGCCCTTTTCTAAAGTTGAATCTATTGAACTTGACAAAAATAAGAATGATGTCAGATTTACATTTCCTGTAATCTAGGCTTGCTTTAAAAATGGAGAGAAAAAAACAACAACACAACAATTTTTTTTTTTTTGATGTAGAGTACCAAGATTTGTTAAAAAAGAGCCTCACAGAGAAAAACGGAGGCCTGAGGCTTTGGCTTCTCAGTCAGCGACACTTAATAAGAGAGTCTGGCAGCGGGATGCAGCGGAGCAGCGCTGGGAGATGAGACCAGAGTTTCCATTATGTGGTAGTGGGAAGCTGGGAGTCTCTTCCTACCACTAGCCTCCACTGCTGGTGTTAGGTTGCCTCCAATGGGGGGAGAGGGACCAGCGAAGAGGGAGGGGGTGGTTAAGGGGAAATATGATGTGGTCATAAGGGAAAAAAAGAAAATAGGGACAGGGAGAAAGAAAAGAACAGCGCAACAGAAAGGAAGTAATAGGAGACCAGACAAGCCGTTCCACCACACTCATTATCATGATCATCATCATCATCATCATCGTCGTCGTCATAATCTGCTGTTACCAAGCAACCCTACGCTCCTGTTTTCTAGTGCCAGTTTGCTAGTGGCCAGCAGTTTAACCCTGAAACACGGTCGCCATCAGGCAGTGAGTCAAACAACAAGAGGTTGTTTTAAGAGGGTGGGATATGAAGACTCCCTCGCACAGTGACGGGTCTTTGAGGGAAGGTGCCCTGGGCAAGCACTTTCCTCTGCCGCCTCCCACACCCACGACTATTAACACCTCCCCACTGACCGCAAGAGAAGACTTGTTCAAACACAACTAACAAAGTTATCTTTTATATATATACTGCAGGTTCATCCCTCCATTTCAATACCACCCTGGTCAATTGGTCGTATCATAAGACCCCATATCAACGACTGTCACTCACACTGCATGCAAAAGTCAAAATAAGCAAATATGTAAAGTATCATATTATGTTGTTTTGTTCCCAAAAAGTCTGAGTCAATAGTTCTAAGTTGCCAATAATTATTTTTTTTTCCATTTTCCCAGTAATTTGCTCAAAGTTTAAACAAAAATTTTGCTCAAATCTCAGGTCAACAATTCAGCATAAAGCACAAATACTTTTGAAATTTAGATTAACAACTATCCGTTGGGTCTGTCTTCTGCTGCAACAAAAACTTTGAAGAAATGTACAGAGATAACAGAATACCAACAAAATGGATTACCACTGAAGAATTCAATAAAGTAATTTTTTTTTTCAGGAAAGACACAAAATAAAAAATTACAGGTAATTCTGCTTTGTTGTGCGTTTGGGTCGATGACATCATCGGAAGCACACATATCAGGCTGAACATCTGGCAATGGTAAGAACTCTGGCAGGCAAATTACTTTTCACAAGTTACAACATAGATTCTGTAGCATTAGAGACACATTAACATCTTCCCTAGTTCTCTTCACAAAATGCCCATGCAGTAAACACCTCTGAAGGAGGAACTGGATCAAAAACATGCAAACTAGTCAAGAAATAAAAAAAACAACAACTAAACAAAACAAGAAAATACAAAAAGGTTTGTATAAAATGACTTTGTTCAGCTGCCGACTCCAGTTTAGATAACACTTACAAACTCATGGACCTTGGATATTATTTGGGATTCTAAAGTTTTAAATCTTGATTCAGACTTGAGCTTGAGACTGAAGCTTCATGAAGTTTATCTCATCTAATTAAGGCTAAAAGCTAAATGTACCTCATTTGAGTGAATTATGATGTTGTCCCCTTTAAGTTGTTTATAAGTCACTAGATGTGATTGTGACACCATCCTCACACACACACACACACACGCTTATATGGGTTCTCTTTATTATTTTCCTAATATTAGGATTAGTTTTTAGGCTCTAAGTTTGCATGTTTTTATTTAATACTATTATCCATCAATATTTACTCTAAAGCAAGTTGTGCATGGTTGGACAGTTTTTTTGCTTGCTCCAGTATATAAATCCTTCTCATTTTCTAACCTTGGAAAAATACAGATCATAAACCTCTAACACTAGATAATGTATTATATAGTTCATGAATGCTTTCTCATGTTAAATGGGTTAATAAATATACATTTCTAAAGAATATATTTCTTAAGTTTTCTTTATCGTCAAAATTATATTGACTTTTTGATTACTCATCTTAATTGTTCTGACAACAACAAACAATATAGGTAGTTAAATTCTATATTCTAAATTAAAGTCAAGTATTTATACATATCATAGCATCTATTCAATGTAAAAAATATCATTTTTAGGTCCCTGTTTTATTTGTGCATTGAAAGTTTGTTTTTTAGTAGAGTATATCTTGCTTTTCTGGATTTAAAAAAATATATATATTACAGTATATGTTTTATTGGTGTCAAGCTATCTAAAGTGAGTATGATTTTGCAAAGAAAGTCTGCCCAGGTTCCACATTTTGTGTCATGCATAAAGCACAGGCTCCAGATGCAAAGCGATGCCGGCAGGACTACATGCGCACAGTGGGAATCCAGCTGTATAGACGTGGTAAGTAATGGATGGGAACCAGTTTAGCACCTTGGCAACATGCCCAACGTGCTTTACTGTGGCATAATGCACAGATGTGCCATTAAGTCAAACAGCACTTTGTTTTCCTCAGTGAAGCTCCCTTCCATTTCTAATGGAGCTCCGCCAGAGTGTGTTCTGAATTTACTCAGTTAATTCTTCCCTGATTACTGATAAAGCAGTGGCTAAAAAGAAGAGGGTGAAGCGGATGAGGGAGGGAGGATGTAAGCCCCCTTTGCTGGCAGTCCCCTCTATGCCCTTCCCTTCTTTCACTTTTCCAAAAGTAACACACAAAGGCTACTTGTCCTGGTGCTGCCTGTGCCCCACCCCTGTCCCCAGCCGGTGACTCGCCCTGCCAGTCTGGCCCCTGCCAAGAAACTGAACACACGCATGTTTAAAATGTTGCCCTCTGTGCGGCCCTGAGGAGCCGGCACCCACATGGCACTAACAGATGTGGAACCCCCCCTGATCGTTCGCCTTTCTTTTTCTTCTCTTCTGCTGAGACTCTGATGGACTGCAGGTCAAAAATCTAAACAGGCCAGGTGCAGAGGTTTGACCAGTAAGTTATCGATAACACCAGCCCACTCAGACATTTCTGACCTCTTCTTACTCATGACACCCACCCACTTCCCCTCCCACCTCCCCGAGCATGCCAGACTTTATTAGACACCGAGAAAAGAAAACAGAAAACATGCCGCTTGCCTGGAAAATGTTGCCTCCACATTCTTTAAAGCTCAAAGCCGGAGCATTGCAAAAAAAAAAAAAAAAAGAAGAAGAAAGTTGATTGGGGGGAGGGGGGTTGATTTTCAAAGGAAAAAAATAAAAAAAGGAAGATCCTATATAAAAATCCAAAAAGGGTAGCCCTCCCTCCTTCTCGTGCAATGCCTTAACCCCCCCCCACCGCCCCCCTCCCTCCTCTCGTAGAGTCACTCCTCTCGGTCTGGCCTCGTCAGTAAAGGGAAGGGGCTCCTGCACTGCGAGTTCACACTAAGCCTCCAGGCTGCATCATCTTTTAGTCCATGCTTTTCATGGCTGGGAGAAGAAAAAGAAAAAAAGCAGCGTCCACCCCTTGGCTGCGTCTCTGTTCACACACACCAGGAGGATGGTGCTGGTGGATCGGTCGCAGGAGGAAAAGCTTTTGTCCTTTATAATCTCCCGAAGAAGAGGAAAGCCGCGGTCAGGAAAGGACGCTAACTGGAGAGTCTCTGTGCTGCTTCCTCTGCTGTCAGCTGTGCCACGAACAGTCACTGTGCATCCTCTTGGTTTTGTTTGTTCCAGAGGGAAAGATAAATAAATAAATCAAAGCGAAGGAAGAAAAAAGAAATCTGTAAATCAGAAATGCCAGCTTGAACATGCGGAGCCGTGCTCTGTGGGCTTGCAGGCTGCGATCACTTCATAGGATCCGCACCAGCACAAACCCTCCTCCCTCTTTCTCCCCCCTCCTCCTCCTCCCCTGCCGCCTGCTTCTTCTCCCAGTTTTTTTTTTTTTTCCTCAATTTTTTTTTCTTATTTCTGATCTGGACTCCTCTGTGTTTTGAGAACGCCTGCCCCAGTTTTTTCCACCACACTAACCCTGCCTCGATTCCCTCTTTTTCTTCCCAATCATTTTGCTCCCTGCTAACATCTCACTTCCCTTAAGATCCAGGCCCCCCCATCTTCATCTTTTCAGCATTGCTGTACATCTATATGTCAGAACTTCATTGTGGTTCAAACTTAGATTTCCATTATTCAACATCTTTTTAGAACTTACTGTGAATTAAACAGCTGATATGTCCACATGGATTAACGGCCAGTCAAATGAACTGATGGATGGATGAAGGAATAGATGAGGCAGGTGATGAGGGGGAAAAGTCTGTAAAATACATCAATCCGCTGCCGAAATTTTGATTTCAGAAGAGGGGGGACGCAAGTATTTTTTAATATAACTAACTTCCATATGTTTGACCTTCTAATCACAGAACCGATACAGTGGCACATGTGGGCGGTCTAAACTCTGGGAGGCGGGCTTGTCCTTGTGCACGAATATCTGTGTACTGTAGCGTAACATTGTTGCTGGACAGTAAAACTTACAGGAGGCGAAAACAGACTTTTGAAAAAGTGCAGGGGACATGTCGTCCCCGTCCCCCCCAACTTTACGTCCATGCATCAATCACATTTGATGTTTTTTAAGTCTGTTTCTTGTTTGATCCATGTCTTTTTTTTTTTGCTTTAAATGAAGATTTAAATGTACATACACATTTAAAGGAAGTCATCAGAGGAAAAAGTGACAAGCTCACAGTTTGCTCCCAGGAGAGAGGAAGCTGACAAAACATTGAGCCGAATGGCCGGCAGGAGGAGCGGCTTGGTTGGAAAAACAAAGCAAGCGGAGCCTCCCTGCCACTCTCCAGCAAGTTCGGGGCACAGCAAAAAAAAAAAAACTCACCGCATCGGCTGCATGACAAGCGTGACCAACGTACAAAAAGTCTGCCGTCAAAAGCAATTATTAGTGACAGAAAAGTGAACAGGTAGAACCACCCTGGCACAGTGTGTCCACAGGACGGCTGGATGTGTCCATCCTGGTGAAAACCGTCACCTGCATGAAATAATGTCATATAATATTTTGTGTGAGTGTGTGTGTGTGTGTTTGTGTGTCTGATCTTAGCAGCACAAACCAAACAAGCTGAGACCTGGCGTGTCACTCCAGAAAACCGTCTGCAGAAACGACACATCTGAGGAGCGTGACCATCAAAGCCTGCAACTTCCTGCCAGCCAGCAGGACCAACACACACACACACACACACACACACACACACACACACACACACACAGACACACACACACACACACACGCATGCATACACCCTTGATGGAGTGTGGGGATATGGCTGCCCCTCTGATCTTTCTGTCTTCAATAACATGAGAGAAAGAGCAGCGGAGGGGATGATGATGGGGGGGTGACTGACAGAGATATGTTAATATGGAACATGATAGAGATGGATCACATCCCAACAGACACTATATCACTCTGGGAGGTTGGGAATACATCAGGAATAAAAGGAGAGGTAAGAGAGGATGGAGTGAAGGAGTGCTGGGAGTAGGCCCTTCTGATTAAGAGTTATTTTATTTAATAACAAATTAGCCATAGCTAAAATCAACCTTTATATGCAGCAGCTTAACATCCAATGAGTAAAATTTTACTTCTACATCAAATAAATACAGGATAAAGTTTCGCAGGCTGGGAAATGACAGTCCCTATCTAATCCCTTACTTTTTACAACCTGTTCTGTCATTTGACAACACTGGAGCATTGAGAAGGATCTTTGACCATACTATATCTGAGTCTTACATCTTACATACTTGCTTGTTCACTCTTCTCATCATCTCATCTCATGGGTTTTCTGTAGGATTTAAGGCAGACATAAACTATATAACTTGCCCTTTTCGAGCAGATTCTTCAGTCGTGTGAGAATTTTTTCAATCAAGCCGAGTTTTTAAGCCTCACTGTGCATCCGGAGTTGTGTAGTTTACAGGGGGTAATGAGGGGTGTTCAGCCTCTCACCTCCCGAAACATATCAAACATGTTTGAAATTCAATCGGCCCTCATAAAGGGTTCATGAGCAAATCCTGCTGTTGAAGCAGAGCTACGAGCTGATTTACCAGAATCTCGTGCATTGTGCATATGCGAACAAGGAATTCTTCTTCTTCTTCCAGATTGAAGAGTTTGACCAGCGCCATCTCTCGGCGCTCAGTCCGACAAGTGGTTTTTTTGGACGTGCAGTGTGAGCAGGTAGAATGAATCAGAGCATCAGGCCACACAGCGTAAGAACCAGTAGAGTGATCAGGGAACTTTTAAAACCTGCAGTCTCTTTGTACAGTTTGAGTTGTAGCTGCGTGCAAAGATTGAAAATATTGTACAAAGCGTGCCCGGCTTTAGGTTTAAGCACTAAAATGGCTGCAGAAGAAAACTCTGATTCTGTGAAATATTTCTACTTATCTTCCATCACTTTCGTTCTGAAATAATTTTCATTAAAACAGGAGAGTGGTGGCCTAGTGGTTGGGGGATTGCGCTTTGAATCCAGAGGTTTTGAGTTCGAGCCCCGCTCCCACGGACTGATCAAGACCCTCAACCCCAAACTTTTTCCCGGGAGCTGTGCAAAGGCAGCCCACTAAATGCAGAGAGTTAATTTCATTGGCCTGTACGTGTGACAGTGTAATGACATAAAAGCTGGAAAAATAAAAAAAATTTGGATCGTTTTGTCTTCAGAGGACAAGGAGCTAAAGATAAAGAGGCAAAAAACCCCCCAAAAAACAGCTTTTTGGGACACAAAAGAAAAATCAAAAAGAAGGAGAACGATGTTTCTTGAGATAAAAATCGATTAAAAGATAAAAGACAGTACTGGACAGTTATATCAGTGTGTTTTAAGCTTAGCTGTAAATGTTAGCTAAAGTGCTTTGATTTCCCAAACTTCTTCAAATTTGTTAATCTTTTTTTTTTTAACTAGAATCACAGAAGATATACAGTACATTAATAAACTAGGAGTAATGCAATTGATTTAAATGCATTGAATGTAACACTACTGTGTTGTGATGCATCTGAAGCAGCAGACGCAGCATGCAGTAACTAATATCCAACTGAGTATCAGCTGATGTGTGCATATGCCCACCGATTCATTAATGCATTCAGCAGTCATGCCTTTAGATAATATAAGTAGCATGCCTTGCCATTACCTCCATACTATCCATTGTTAAGATGTTTTATTTGATTTGTTAATAAATACCTATTGTGATTTATATTGAAGATCATTTTTATTATGTTAATGGGGGAAGAAAAAGCAATATCAGCCTAAAGAATCGTCAAAAAAAGAATTCGCAGCACAAATGTTGGATCAGTAGACTGATCTCAATATAATCTGTATAGGAATCAGGATTTTAAAAAAAAACATAAAGCGATTCATATCTTGTCCTTAACTTGGGTAAAGAAAAATATTATACTGCTTTGATCGATAAAGCCTAAAACAGAAACCACAAAGGACAAATCAAAATCAAATAAATTTCAGGACCATGAGTAATGATCATTTAGGTCATTTATATATCAGTTTATTATTTTTCTATTAACCAATTAATAATTAGATAACAAAAAGTGATAAAAAGGGAATTTTTACAGAATTTAAAAAAAGTAAAGCTAAAAATAAACAATTTGAGGAGCTTTGGAGGTTTTTTATTTTAAGCAAAATGCATATATCGCTTGTACAGATTTATTACTGTTCTGAGTGGGTTGTTCTTTCAGCAAAAAGCATATTTTGAGACTGTAAACTCCAGTTAATGAATATTTAATCACTTAATTAGTTCATAATCCCAGTTAATCGGAAGAATTGTTTTTGTATAAACCGCTCTTCTTCTGACGCCTCCCAATTACCATAAATTCGGGGAATCATCTATAACTTGTCGAAGGTACAACTGACAGATGCGTTACATTTGTTATCAACCTCTCCCTTCCAATGACGCTCTGGGCAAAAGCTCATACAGCCCAAAACAAAAACTGCCACCGCATATCGACATGAGTAGCTAAAGTTGTTAGATAATGGACTGAACTAATTTTCCATGTTTCTCTAAAATAAGTGCATGTTATCCTTACATGGTTATAAGGAATCTAAATTATCAGCAGGATCAGACCACAATCTGATTCAACAAAGAGGAGATTTTATCCAGTTTCCAATCTGATCGGCATGCAACTAAACGCTTGTCAAGATCACATTATTCTGAATGAGACAGGCTGACCTGAGTGCGCATGTGCACCCTGCATCAATATTATGTATTGCTTTAAATGACAAGTTAATGTTAGATTATTTTAGCAGGCATGTCTATATGACACAGTCGTTT